AATATGCATTTCAGCTACTTCGGAGTCTTGGTGTGTATATTAGACAGTTGATCCACAACACCGCATTGGTGACCTTCTGTCTTCACATCGGCTAGTCTTCGATTTTGCCAATGGCTTTAAGTATGTACCAAGACACCAATTTACAAAGAACCAATAACTACTAAGTGTTGCTAAGGTAGAGGAACAGATCAGTGGGTCATCACCAAATCAATAGGTGACCCAAAAAGAATATATTATTTAAATTGAGAATTGATCAAATTAAAGTATAGTGATAATGTATCTATTTAAGTTGATCTCGGCAATGCGAGGTTTGGGGGCAGCGCCTCGGTGAGGTTCCAAGGGGGCATTGCCCCTGACGACGGTGGGGTTCAAGGGGCAATAGTCCGGCTTGAAAATAAATCTGTATGTAAAAAATGTATCCGATGGCTGTTATCCGGCCAAACACTCGAATAGTCATGTCTGTTGGGAACATACACGACTTCCCGCAAAAAATAACCGACTTAACTAACTGTGGATATATAAGGTATCATTCGATCATTGAATTATCCAAGTAATTTTGATATTCTATTTCCAAAATCTAACATTTTATAAAATTCGACTTTGATAAACCGGATTGAAGCCATTTACTGAATAGCTTAATTATATGATGTAGTAACTTCAGATTGTGGTAACTGTTGATTATAAATTGTAAATGATAGTAAAAAGATTACCATCATATATCCATTTTCAAAAGTAGTTTTTATTTGTTTAATAACACTGGTATTTAAAACGTTATAATTTAGTGACACGACTATTAGACATGTACATAATTTACTAATTACATCCTTTTATCTCCGTTCCTTCTAAAATAATGAGTAATAGAGTTATGATTATCAATACTTCACAAATTAATATCGACATATGCATACTAGATTGAGAAAACAACATTAGTTTATAGATTGTTTAAAACAAATTGTGTTGGTAATTTTAGTATCATCAATCATTTTGGTGTAATGGTGATTTACTTGAGATCGATTAAAGTGATAAGACAAGCATAAGTGAGTTAGACGGTTTAAAAAACAAGCATAGTCACTTAAATTTTGCTTAGACTAGAAATCTCATTAAATGGACCAGATCTCTGATTGTTCTTTTCCAAACTTACTTACTCTTTGACACTTTGAAATATATCTGAACTCTTATCAGACTACCTCATATTTATAGCTACTGAGATTTTCACTAAGTTCGAACCTACATAAAATCCAAAAACCTCGAGGAGTTGCCCCCAGATTTAAAAAGCTCACCAAGTTTAGAGTTAGTAAATTCAATAATATTGTCACTTCTAAACACCTCGACAAACTTTACAAACTGAGTGCCTAACAAGTTGTAAAAACATAAAAGATTATCAAGAACTTCATGTTTACCTTTTAAGAAATAAATCCAGACAACATGGGTATGATCATTCATAATGGTAAAGAGGTATTTAAACCCTTCCTTGTGTTGAACATGATAAAGACCTCATACATTTAAATAAACCAATGCACCACGATACTTAGATTTGTGATCACTTAAGACAAATTTATCTCGATTTTGTTTTGCCTTGTGGTAGATCATACACGGGTTGCACACTTCAGTACCAAGTATAAACTGATTCTTTAATACATTGAGGACCTGATCAGTTTGGTGACCAAGACGACTATGCCACAGTTGAGCATACACAATGCATGAAACACTAAGAGTAGAAAAAGAACTGAAAGACTCAATTTTACAATACTCATAAAAAAATACAAGCCACCTTCCTGACTACCAGTACCCACAAGACTCTTTCAAAAAGAATCCTAGACATAATATATAATGAGTGTCATAAAAGCTTACAAGCATTTTATTATCTCTAGCAAGTTTATGGACAGACAAAAGGTTGACATTGTAATATTCTGGTACTACTAACAAAGAAAGTAGTGTAACATTTTTTGAAAGTTTGAAGTTTACATTATTATTAATATTTTGCCTCAGTTCCAATAATATGCATGATTCACCTTAAGATTTAAATATTATCAAGATAGACGTGTTTTGTATTGTTTTGCACCAGAATCAATAATCTTCCCATGTCGTCATGGTTTAATCAGACTTGCCATGTTGGCAAAAACCTCTTTTGAAGAAGATTTTTTGATCTATCAGTCTGAGAATTTTAGCAACTTGTTCCTTAGAAAATGAAAATGGAGATGGAGAAGGAAGTTGTTCACTCGCATGAGGTTCATACACACACGCACACATATTACTAGGTAAGGGTTTAAAATTTTGAATAGGAGGTCTACGGTTGTTTGAAAATATTTTGAAAACTTAATGAGTTTAAAACACCTTTCAATATTGTATCAGAAATATCACAGTCTTTGCAATTAAGATATGAGGATATGCAAATTATACTTTTGTTTTCCATAGCCTTGCTTAAAAAAGCAGAGTGTTGAGACTTTGTACTAGATGAGCAAGTAATACCCCCTCGATGAGACTCTTCCATAGATACGAGGGAAAATGCAATTTTTTTTTACAGAAGGGAGGGTGTACCTTGTAAGAATATTGCTCTTAATAGGTTGGTACACATCCTCAAGATCCATAAAAATTTTGCATAAGTTCGATTAGTTTAATGTGATAAAAAAAATCATGTGAGGCATTGCAAATATAGGAAGGAAGTTTGACAAGAGCATCAAACTGCTTCAACAAAGAATTGAGTTTGTGATAATATTAAAAAATAGTGTAACCATTTTAACTTGGATAATTAATTTTCTGATGTAGGTTAAAAGTAACTGGTCCATCAACTTTGTCATATGTTTCCTTAAGCTTTTCCTAAATCTGAGAAAAAACTTATCCCAATAAGAGGTCCTCAGTCATTGAACCTAAAATCTTGGACAGGACTACATATTTGCGTCTGTCCAATTGTTATTCCAAAACAGAATCATTTTTAGGACAAAAACATAATCCATCAATAAAACCATGTTTATATTTAGTTTCCGAGGCCAATTCATATTAAACAACCTTTCTTTATTTTCTGCTTCCACATATCAATTTAGGCTGGCATGGAGCCATCCACCATTACACAACGTAGTTATGAAGTGATTCCACCATCTAATAAAAGATTGCACACAAACGTGATCCTTCTTTAGCTCCTATTTTTAATTAAAGTTAATTTTTTTTTATAAAATAGTATAATAAAATATATTGTTTGTGATTTTGTCTGATCCAAAAAAATCATTTTGTGGTCATGGAGATGCAAATGTAGTGTTTCCGGACTACCCACAAAGTAGGTGCTCGTTTTGAAATTAGTCGACTCATATAGCAAGTTGGATATTCCGACTAATTAAAAAAAAAAAAATGTAAATGCTCAATTTTAATGCACCGATTTATCTAGATATTGCTTTACTCTTCGAAGAACAAGAGACTAATAATAACCCCACCATTTATAGCAACCAAAGTGGCTTGTATTATATTTCGGCGTTTAGAATATTTTAATAGACTTTTTTTTAAATTCTAAAATATAAACATAAAAATTAAAATCTTAAAAAGAATTATATTTAATTTTGATAGATTTTTTATTTTAAATATTATAATATTAATTGTGTTATTAAATATTAATTGTAAACAAAATCTTTTCTGAAAGTTTTTTCGTAGTTTTTTTCTTTAAATTTTTAGGGGTTTTGCTCCTTTTAATATATAACCTTTTTTTATTCTTCTTTATACTATTATATATTTGTATGTATGTATATATTTATGTATTATATAGATTATAAAAAATTAACCACTTAAATAAAACTAAACTAAACAATATGTTTTTCAAACAAAAAGTATATATATAAAAATTAGATTTTAAGAAATCCGGAAAATAATGTGTACAAATGATTTTTATACAATTATATATATATATATATATATATATACAACCCTTTACATTTATAAAACCAATACAACTCAATCTCAATCGTACATTTAATTTGATAAATATGTAATTTTATAGAGGTTTTGATTATTTACTAATATAAAGTATTGATCATAATTAATGAACTTGATTCATCTTTCATAAATATTTAAATCATAATAAACAAACTCTCATTATTTCTATAAATATCTTAATTAATTGAGTTGTATCGATTGTACAAATGGACATGGTTGCATTTGAACTATACCCTGTATATATATATATATATATATATATATATATATATATATATTAATAAATAGTTTTTTTTATTAATTTGAATATTCAACATGCTATGTGAGCCGACTAATCCTAGGGAAATACCACTTGTTTTGCGAGTAGTTCGAAGTCACCATATTTAAACTGTTGTAGTAGCACGGGAATTTATTTTTTCTTGGATTTGAACATGGGATCTCTGTACACTTTTGACCTTTGAAACACGAACTAATCAGGCATCACCCTTGTGGTTTTAAATTATTATTTTTATCATCATTTTAAATATATTAGTACATGAATTATTTATTTTCATAGATGAATACAAATTCTGAAAGTCCTTATCTTAACGGTAGAAAATTCACTTTTTTATCAGAAGTTCTATAAAATTTTATAAGTTAAAAGTAAATGATATATATATATATATATATATATATATATATGTATGTATGTATATGAAGAAGATCTAAAAAAGCACACGATGCCGTTATTATTAACGATCAAAAACCTTTTACAGAAACCTCCAACCAAAAACTTATTAGCATGTTGAAATATCTCATGTTGGTTTTTCATTTTCTAAAAACATCTTACTATCAACTATTGTGGATGCTTTTATATTATAAAGTGACGACCGGTTTAAGTTCCTTTTAAATCATAAAGATTTTTCATGTTGTAAACGTCATAATTATATTTGTTATATTCAATGTTATAAAACTATATCACTTCTCTTGATTTTGTTACTACATTCTTACTAGAAACCATGATATTTTACACAACTCTTTCCTTGTAGGCTTGTACCCTACTCGCTCTTGTATCACCTCTCTTTGTGTTTTCTTCTGTGTGTATCTCTTTAGAGAGAGAGAGAGAGAGAGAGATGGGGAAGAAGCATTCTTCAAGGGGGTTATGGGACATGAAGACCATGCTCTTTTGTAGCATACTCATGTTCTTCCTTGGAGGATTAGCAACTTCATGCTTTTACAGAAAGAATCATCATGAAGCACCTACGAGTACCAACGTTAGGGTTACTGATATGAATACAAAGTACCCAAATGCAAATACAAACACAAATACACAAGTTTTTGGTCATCAGAGAAGGCTGAAGCGTGCACCACCGTCCTTAACCGACACCTGTGATTTGTTCTCCGGCAAATGGGTTCACGATAACAAGAGTCATTACCCTTTGTATAAAGAAGATGAATGCCCTTTCCTCAATGGTGATTTAGCTTGCCTAACTTACGGCAGAAAAGATTCTAAGTATCAGCAATGGAGATGGCAACCCCATGACTGTGACTTCCCAACGTCTCTCTCTCTCTCTCTAACTTTTGCATGAAATTAACAACAGTTGTATCACGTCCAATTTCACTATGCCATCTTTGATTTTGTTAAGTTTTTTTGGGGTGTAGGTTTGATGGCAAAGCAGTAGTAGAGAGACTAAGAGGTAAAAGGCTATTGTTTGTGGGTGATTCAATAAACAGGAACCAATGGGATTCAATGATTTGCATGCTCCAATCATCAATCCCAGGGGTCAAGAAGGTTGACAATAGAGGTCTAAATGGTACTTTGTACAGCTTCCAGGCCGCTGTAAGTCACTTTTTTATTGTTATCTGTTTTGGTGTCCAAAAGGGTGTTCTAACTTCTAAGTAACTTCTGGTTAAAATAATGCAGGAATACAATATCTCGGTTGACTACTATTGGGCACCAATGCTTGTTGAATCCAATGGCGATGATCCATACAACCATCGCCCTCACCTTCGAGCTATTCGAAGCAGATCTATTAAGAAACATGCTAAGCATTGGGTTAATGCTGATATAATCATCTTCAATTCATGTCTTTGGTGGAGATTACCCACAGTCAGTCTCTTGTAAGTTGATGATAGCATCACCTTGATATATATTAAGCATTGAATGTGTACTTCAATATTTTAGCAATTTCACGTGTTAGGGTTTCTTAATCTTTGTTCCCAAATCAGGAAGAGTGCTGGATCAGTAATGGGTGGTGCTAATGAAGTGTTTGAAGTTGTCGATAGTCCAATTGCCTACAAGATGGCTCTCCAAACATGGTCCAAATGGGTACTTACCCATATCGATCCTTTGAAGACCAAGATGTTCTACATGGGCCATACAGCAGCTCATGCATGGTAACTAGACTTGGACCATTCTACTTTTTATGACATCCGTGAGACCACCTTTTTACACTAGTGTTGATTTTCGTTTCTTCATATTGTAGGGCTACAGATTGGGGCGGCAAGAAGCATGAAACTTGCTATGGAGAGACGGAGCCAGCGATGGATGAAAGATTCCCGGAAATAGGAACGGATCCAAATATACTGAGAATATTGGAGTCCTCGTTGAGCAAATTGAAATCCAAAGGGGTGAATGTGCAGATGATAAACATAACACAACTAACACAACGCCGAAGAGATGCACACCCTACTGTTTATCGGAAACTATGGCGTCCCTTCACGGAGGAACAAAAAAAGAACCCACATAGTATCTCGGATTGTGCACATTGGTGCCTTCCTGGAGTTCCTGATATTTGGAATGAACTTCTTTTGGCTTACATTTTCCGGTAACAGAAGTCGCGGGCTGATAAATTAACAATGCCAAGAAGCCAGAAAAAAACCGAAAATGATTCCAATCGAACAATTTTCAACCCGAATTGCACATACACAATTGAGCAATGTTTTATGAATACTATTCGGGACTATCTTATGGAACCTTTATATTCTATTTTCTATCCATTCGTGTTTTCCAGGCATCTATTTTATCTGAATTTATATTTGACTTCGATGAATAGTGATCCACTTTGGAGAAAGGCTAGAAGAATGGGAACCCTCGGTTCAAATCCGATAAGGGGTTTTTCATTGGTCCAGTACTAGATGTAGTTTTTCCGCCAGGAACAAATATTTCTGGGAGGGATTATTCGTCTTCCTAGTCTTCGACACACGAAAAGGGTATATGCCCATTTGCAAAATAAAAAAAGAGAAAGAAAGAAAAAGATATTGATTTTGATGATTGACAAACCATTCTCTTTATATAACAGACCTGTAGTTCGTAGTTGTTGTGTGACTTCTAGATCATCGAAACGAATTGGTTGGAAAAGTTCACCACAAGATATTAAAGCACGGAATTTGATATTCGTAAGTGTTCGAAAAAGACGACACATGACGAGGTTTTGATTGAAGAGCATATCGACTTATTCAATTTTAATGTAAGAAACGACATAATATTATAGAAAATTGCAACGTAATATTACAACAAAACATGTACGCCTTTGATCGAGTATTTAAAGCAAACATCTATCCACAAGAAGCAAAGCTTTCAAGTCCATGGAAGAATATAAATCTTTTTGTGGTTACGGAGTTTCAAATACGGTAACTCTGTACTATCTGCAAAGCAAGTGATTTCTTTAAGATTAGTCAGTTCATATAACAAGTTGGATATCCAGATTAATTAAAAAAAAACCTAAGTTTTCAAGCCATCAAGTTTATCCTCCATTCTCAAGAGTTAGATTTATTTGTAGTGAGAACTTGTAATATGTCATCATACGTACACATGAGTGTCTTGGTCAATTTACAATTTATTTTTTATTTATTAAAAGACATTTTTTTATCAAAATTGTTTTTTTATTTATTTAAAGGATAAAAAAATCATGTTGATAAAAATGTAAAATATCAAAAAAACATCTTGAAAAATTAATCAATCATAATATTTCAAAATATAATTGAAACAAATCTTGAATTG